AAGGCATGGCTATGTCACAAGCGTAGGACTTGTATGAATCTGATACCCGCTCAGGGACACTTTTCCTGTACAGTCGATGTGCAGGAAATTCTGGGATCTTTCCATTTTGAAATTGCACCCGGAAGAGAGAGATGAATCAGGGGAAACCGTATGGAAAATGTTGCCTGAGTTCCTCAACCAACGAGAAGCGAACGTACTGTGGCAACACAAAGACACCGCCAGGACCCACGCAAAAATCAAGACTTTCTCTGCCTGATACCACCAAATGTCTTCTCCCTGGGGTCTGAAGCAGAGACAGAGATATGTGAGAGCATTCCAGGGACATTTTTACCTTGTTTATAAAGTCTTTCTTCTGCTCAGAGAAGGCACGGCCACTCGGATGTCCTGTAACAAAGTTTTCTTTGGCTAATATGAGCCCCTTGGCTTTTCAGGCAGAAGCTGCACAGCTCAGAGTTGCCACAGAGCAATAACGCTGCCACGTGTTGCCCCGTGCAAGCTGCTGTCTCTCAGGTTCACAACAGGCAGATGGGGAACTGAAGCTGCTGCGCCTGCTGCCCCAGCATCCCAAACGTGGTCCAAGGAGTTGATGCAAAAGCAGTAAGGTCACCCCATGGCTGTTAACATGCAGGGGAACTAAACCTCGGCTTTCTGTGAGGGGTGAAGTAGGATGGAACATGTAACGGGCATGTCCCCATGTCTTGCACTATTTCCCTAGACGGTGCCTACTTCTGAATCCATCAAAGCCCCACCATTATCATTTCTAGGACAGACAATGGGATGCTGGGCTAGGTGGAGCCTTGATCTAACTCTAGGTGACTTTTCCTGGATTCTCCTATGACAGCTAGAGCACTGTGTAGGAGAACAGGACACTATGGAGTTGGCACTGCTGTAGAACATGGCTGCCCCAGTGGCCGTGGGGGTCCTGACAGGCCACCAGAAATTAGTTCAGTCGTCCTTTGACAAGTGTCCAGAAAGACGAGGTGTAGCCCAGGGAAGGGATCAACTTACACTGAGAAGGGCTTCCAGCAGCTTTCCAGTGTCATCCACAGTGAGGAGAAAGTCATCGAAAAATCTCATAGTGACTTCCCTGTTTCGTATGGAAAGAATGCCGATGGCCTTGAAGACAAAGTCCGTGTCCTGTCTTTTAGAGGTGGCCCGAAAGAACAGCGTCACGGTCTCATATACACAACATTGCACCGTTGTAAAAGGTAGTTGGGCACACACGGAGAGCTCCTCACACCTCAGAGGGATGACTGTTATATCAGCTAGAGAACAGAAAAAAAGGAACAAAGTCACCCCTGCAGTAGGACAGCGCAGGCTCCAAGAAGATGTCAGCAGCTTCAGGCAGGACATTGCTCCAGCGCAGTCTGTTGAATCCCATGCTAACAGCTCCTAAGAGAGCCTGGGCGATGAACACTGTGTGGGAGGGCAGGGGAGACGGCTGCAGATCCCACGACAAGGTCCGTGGCGCTCGGCCACAAGCATGCCCACACCCAGTGCACTCCAGCTAAGTCTGCGCCAGGCTCATGGAGAAGCAACGGAGGAGCAAAATGCAAGGACTGCACATCAGCCTGCAGCATCCTTCTGTTCCCCTGCCCCTCACACCCAGCAAGTGTCCCCACATGCACCCACCTGACGTTTCAATCACATGGAAGGTGGCCTTATGTGAAAGAGAAGAACCCCTCCGAACACAGACCCGAGCTCCTCCTGCCCCACAGCATCATTCGTATCACACTGAGCTCCTCCTGCCCCACAGCATCATTCGTGTCACACTGCAGCAGCTGCACTGACCAGAAATCGTGGCAGATCAGGCCATCCACGAGTCCTTCCACAAACTCTTGTCCTCATCTTTGGTTCTGGTCTGTCTACAAGTGACTTGTACCCACTTTGCTCTAGAAGGAGACTGTAAGAGTCAGCAGTTTTAGGAACTCTGGCCTTTGCCCTTACGAGTAGGTGGGCAGCGCCATAAAGGCGGAGCAATGAGTTTCGTTAGAAAAAGCAGCTCCGACAATTACAGTCTGAAGGCAGTAGTCCTAACATTGCATAATTGCGAATGGTACGGAGCCAAGCATGACAGCGATTAAAGAAGAGGTCCTCTAGCTGTATCATTTAATTATCATTTAATGATACACCTCTAGGTGTGTCATTAAAAATGGACACCCAAGGGGTCTTTCTGAGAAATTGCTCCTTGGTGGCCTTGTTCAGCTTGAACAAGCTGAGGTTGTTCTCAGGACATCTTTGGGCATTCAGTCATGCCTTAACAGCAGTTAGCATAAGCCTCAAGGGTGGTGCAAGGGCAAGCAAAGTTTTTAAGCCATCTTCTTACCAGGAACATCTTCTGCAGCATAGCTGAGGTGGCATTCATCTGCAATCACCTTGGACATACATAACATGGGTCTCCGAACAATCGAAACCTCGCTGTTCACAGTGCACGGGTAGTCTTTCAGAACATAGAATGTTCCGATTCCCAACAGTTGGACACCCTGAGAACAGTGGAGGTAAAAAGAAGGAACAACTGTAAGTATCCTGGAGAGGAAAACACTCACCAGTGACTTGTCAGAGCATGGGGATGCTGCCTTGTGCCTTGCCCACCCCGAGCCTACAAAGGCCAAGATGAGGAAACTTTGGAGAGAAAGCACATACTTCAGGCCTTTTTTTTCTCCTCTGCTCTGCTCAAGAAAGCTATTGAGAAAAGTAACAGCAGAGCCAACATCCCTCCCCTAGGTATAACCGGAGGGGTTTCCAACAACAAGGGGAAACCCTTAAAAAGGTACCAGGGTATGGTCTTCCCATTCTGGCAGTGTTGATGAGAAGTCCCAGAAAGTGCCTGACACTTTCTTCTACTTTATCTGGACTTTCATTTTTATTGCAGGTGCCAGAGAACCTGGTCTGTGCCACGTTTGTCGACAGCAGTGTCCTGCCAGGTGACTGTTTCTGCTTTCAGAGCGGGGAAGCGACGGCACTCGATGGCACAGCGTTGTCCGGACAAGGCAAGCTCTCAGGGTTTCACGAGGGAAAAAACAGGATGCAAGACCCACCCTATCCTGCGCCAAGTGCTGTCTAATGCATTCAGACACGCTATCCCAAACCATAAGGATCTCTGGAAGGCAAGCAAAAGATGTGTCATGCTCCAAGTCAGCAAGCTCACAACCCTTCAGCACACTCCTACCCAAGGAGATGATGAGTGAGATTAAACATATTGCCACCCCAGTTAAGAACATATAAGGCGCTCCACGTGACAGGAGATGTAGGAAATCGGGAATAGATGTCCACACCCGCGAGAGGATGGTGCGGTGCCTACAGGGGGCTCAGAGACTCGGGGGAGCCCCAGGTATCTCCCCTGCAGGGACCACTGTCAGCCCTCTCGGTGCTCATCAACTCTGCACGGCCGCCGTGGCTGGGAGCTCCAGGCGGGCAATCCCCTCTGCAAGGCGAGCAGCAAGCCTTGGCGCCAGGGGCTTCGACCTGGGGAGTGGGCAGCAAGGCAGGGGCAGAGGAAGGTCCTCAGGAAGAAGACCCAGGAGTCCTGGCTGCCAAAGTGATCCTGAGCCAGGACGGGATGATCAGACAGGGCTCTTGTTGCACCCATCAGCCCTGCCCGGTCCTCCCCACAAGGCCCCCATGTTTCCACAGCTACTTTCATGGCTAATATTGTCTACAACGTTCAGAAAATAACTCCTGCAAGCCTCACCACCAGGGGTGAGATTCTTGAGCGTTGGAAACGTATCTGGCCACAGGTTTTCCATCTTTGTCCCCGCCTCCCTCTGGGTTAACTCCTGTAGCAGGAGGGTGAGAGGGAACCGTTCACTCCACAATCTCTGCCCCCTTCTTTGACTTCACCAAAGGGCCTCCAGCTCCGTCCTGACGTGGAATGTCTCACTGTGACCCCTGACCATGTCACAGAGGGTCTGCAAGGGCTCCCCCGACCCCCTTAACCTCCCCCAGATCCTGCCAGGTTTTGCCCTACAAGAGGGAGGGGAGGTGTGGTGGGTGTTGTGGGGTGCTCTTCCCACCTCACTGCCCACTCCCCAAGGAGAATTGGGGGCGCATTGAGAGCCATGGCAGGGGGGGGTCCCTTGTGCACTCCAGATGCGCTGGGCAGCTCGTTGGTCCCAACTGGAGAGGCTGTGCCACCTCTGCTGGTGTGGGGCTGCGCACACAGTGGCATTCCAGTTCCTGGGATGAGGACAAGGCTCGGAGACCAATGCACGCAGCAGCATCCCCAGTCCCGGGACAACGGCAGGGCTCGGGGACCCCTTTACGGGGTTTCCCTTTATGTGAGAGAGCAGCGGGAGCGGATGGAGCTCTGCCTGGGGATGCGGGATGAGCCAACAGGGAGCTTATGGGTCAGGATTAAGGAGAAGACTGGGGTGAGTGTCAGTGTAGTGGGTGTCTGCTGTAGGCTGCCTGATCAGGAAAGAATAAGGGCATGAGACCTTCTACAGACAGAAGTAGCTTCACGTTTGCAGGTCCTGGTCTTCCTGGGGGATTTTAACCACCCTGATATCTGCTGGAGGGACAATGCAGCAGAACATAAGCAACCCAGGAGGTTCCCCAGAGAGCATCGGTGACAGCTTCCTGACATACGTGATAGAGGAGCCAACGAGGAGCAGTGCTCTGCTGGACCTCCTACTTACAAACCAGGGAGGGCTCACTGGGAGGAGTGCCTGGTGCACCAGAAGGTCGTGCTGCCGTTCAGAGGGAGAGCTGTGGGATGAGCCCCTCTGTACCCAGGGACAAAGCCCTACCGGGATGATGACCAGGCCCCCAGACAGAGGAGATCAGACATTCAGACCAACCTAGCTCAATTATACGCGGAAATAACTCTGAGAAGTTCTCTCAAAGCATTGGTGAAGACTCTTACCATGCTAGTTAAAAGGAGACCAAGAGGAAGGCTCAAATAGTGCTACTTATTGTTTACAGACGCAAATTTATTAAGACACAGGCACAACTCAGTGCAGCAGCACAGGGTCCCGCTGCCAGGACCCTGGGCTGGCGTCTCACCAGGGCACAACCTTCCCTTCCCAGTCCAGGAAGGTCCTGGTCTCCTTCTCAGAGAGGGAGGAGAGCACCTTCAGCATCCCTCGCACGCTCTCGTCCACCATCACAGGGGGCTGCGGGGCAGAGGGAGAAACACAGTCGTGTGCCCAAGGCCTGGCTAAGGTCTGCCCTGGAGCATTGCTCAGGGCTGGGGGATCTCTGGCCAGTGAGCAGAGGCCAGCAGAGGGCAAGAAGGGTTCCCCGCCTCTCATCTCCTTCCCTCATGTGCCTCTAGCTCAGAGCATCAGCCAAAGGGCTCTCCCAGAGCCCAGCATGTCTGGGACTGTTCAATCCACAGGAAGCTCTGCATTCCCAAATAAAAAGGTTCTTCCAGACCTTGGCCAAAAGCTCTCTTACCTTTTGTGATCCTGAGCTCCCCGTGTCGGTTTGCACCCAGCCAGGGTGGAGAGCAGCGCAGAGGACGCCGTGCTGCCGGTACCCCAGGGACTGGCACTTGGTCAGCATGTTCAGAGCAGCCTGCGGGGAGAGAGGGCAGGGGGGTGGCGGTGACAGGAATGTGCCGTCAGAGGGACCCGCTGACCGACGGGAGCTCAATCACAGCGCAGGGAGGTGCAGGGACTGAGGGGGAGGTTGGAAGGCATGCGAGATCGTTTGGAGAGGAAAATGTCGGGGCTGATGCCCAGCGCAGTGTGGCAGAACCTTGCTGCAGCGGTAGGAGACAACTTGCCCATAATCCCATAAATAGACTTCCTCAATCGAGCCTGCAGAGCTGGACATGTTGGTGATGGCTGCCTTGCTGCAGCTCAGCTCCCCCGGGCAGCCTTCTTCAGCAAGGGCAGGAACGCCTGCGAGGAGAAGAGAGGAGAGGAGAGCAGAGGAGATAGGGGTGTGCACATAGGTGACACGGGGGAGAGGACCAACTCCTTGCACAGCGGGCAACGCTGGGCACCATCAACAACCTCCCTCATCTTCCCACTGCCCCAGCCTGCCAGGCTCCAGATCCTGAGCTCCAGCCCCTGGCTCCATGAGCTTCTCATTGAGTGAGAGTCCATCGGGCCCCGGAGCGGAGGCAGGACCCTCTCCCACTGGCCCTTTGTGCCCCCCGGCACGGCCCGGATCAGGGAGCCAGGGCCACGGGAAGGGATGCTCCCCGGAGCTGTGCTGCGGTGCTGGGCTGAGGGTCTCACCTGGCTCAGCAGCATGGGAGCGACCC